ACAAATTCCTTTCTGGTTCTTCACATTGTACTTTCACCTCAACTTAATTAAATCAGACTTGTTTCTGGCCGGAGGCCATTATAATCGGCACTGGTTAGAGTAGAAATGGAGGCGGAGAGCCGCCACACTTGCTGTAGCAGGGGAGGTGAGGTCTGGGCTATCTCGGAGCTGATGTCTGATTTCTTGTGTTATTTATATCAAAACTCCTGACTTTTTAAAAACACGTTTCAAAAAGATTTATTTCATTATATACTAGTAATAGACCAAAATTTCCAGAGTTCTCTATTGATACTGAATTTGGGGTCACAATCTGTACTCCAAGAAGCCCTTGGGTTCAGTCACTTGTCCTGGAGACATCTAATAACAGAGACAAATTAATAGTAAAATGCAGAAAAGGGGGTTCTTTCAATGTGGTGGCTCTGGGAAGAGGGATAAAGAGATCCAGTAACCCCAGCTTCAAGTCCATCTTCATGTCTTAAAGTTTAAATAGGGAGCAAGGGAGATGCAGATCTGCACAGTCCTGGTTCAGGTATGGTACCCTCCTCCTTGTCTGGGTTCTAGTCTCTCCAGCAAGGTGGTCTGACAAGCTGTCAGGACTGGGTGAAATCTCTTTCTAGAAGTCAAATTACTGCTTTGGCTAATGCCAAGCTTCAGCCTTTTTTTTCTCCCAGCATGTGATTCCTGGGGGCAGGGGAATGTCTAGTTTCTTGGGATCTATTGTTTCACTAGTCTGATAGTTAGGCTAAGGAATACAGCCATCTTTTTAAAACTGATTTCATTTAGTCCAGGGTAGTAATATTATCAAACTACTTGAGCATTGCTATCAATATATACAAGGGGCCGTATTTGACAGGCATAGGATCAGGATGCTGGTGAGCTCTTTGTCTCCATGTTCAGTGAGACAGAAAGGCCTCCTTTGATGTAAAGCCACAGCAAAGCAGGTTTTGCAGTGGTGTGGTGTTCTATCATTTTCAGACTTTACCCAAGAGAACACATATATTCCTTTTGCTAATCATGTATCTTATAATACCTAGTCAGTCGTGCCAATAAACTACTACTATGATAAATTCCTCCAATATGATACTGGAAATTTGCACTTTTAAGAGTATAAGTTCACAAAGCTTCTACTTGAAGTATGGCTTGGTTCTCCTGGCCAGAAATCTCTGGATTACTGCCAGATCTCTCTCACTTAAGCAAAATTTACTGTCGTGAGGGAATTCTGAAAGCCTAGGGTGCATCATGTAGCAAAGCTTACTGAAAGGGAACCAGGGCCTCTGATTCAGAGGACTGACCTGGCCCCAGAAATCTTCATTGAATTGTTCAATCATTCCAGTGCAAAATATTGAGAACTTCTTTGAAAATCTTACACCAAGGCACCAAGGAGAAAAAGGCATATTAATTGATATATCTACAAAGTGTTGTAAGAGGAAACAGACCAGAGAAAATCAATATACAAATGTGTCTAAAGTATCTTTCTTTCGTTATGGTTAAATAGATGGTAATTCTTCACATTAAACATGTAAATGAACCAAAGAATATAGACCAATGTCATTATCAAGTTCTTTGATAAAGACCATTTAACTACTAAACAGGTTATGGTAGTTTAAATAAGAATATCCCCATAGGTTCATATATGTGAATGCTTAGTCACCAGGGACTGGAACTCTTTGGAAGGATTAGAAGGATTAGAACATGTGGCCTTTTTGGAGGAAATGTGTCACTGTTACTCGGGGTAGGCTTTGGGTTTCAAAAGCTTACACAAGGCTCAGTCTCTCTCTCTTGACCTACAGATCAGGATATAGCTACATCTCTGCTGCTTTTCCAGCACCATGCCAGTGTACTGCCATGCTCCATGCCATGGCAATAATGGATTGATAATGGAAGCCTCTGGAACTATAAGCCAGCCCCACATTCAATACTTTCTTTTGTAAGAGTTGCCATGGCCATGGTGTCACCTCACAGCAATATTAACAGTGCCTAAAACAAAGGCCAATTTCTAAAATTGACAATGTTTTTGTTTGTTGGATAAAGTATTAATTTTATAGCATAATGTGCCTTGATTAATGAGTTCCTCTCAAATGCAAAAGGTGTATAACCTCAATCTGACCTTCATGAATAGACAGCAGCTTCCATGCGAGCTTTTTTGCCAGAATAGCTTCTTCTCTGAACCCTTTATTATGTCGGGGCAAGTTACAGACTCGTAGACAACACAGGAGAGAGACATGTTGGAGCTAGAAAGAGTTTTCTGCTGTCAATCAACCATTTCATAGACAGACAAAATCACCAAAAGGGAGCTGTGTGGTTGAACACAAATATTCAAATCAAGGCAAGATTACATTCAAGCTATTTGATTCACTTAGGAGAACCCCGGCTTTTCACTGTTACAAATGTGGGCAGGTAGGAACCCGCCGACTGGGCTGTGCCAGAAGTCAAGGTGACAGAAGTCTTTGTGAAGATTGCTGATGCTGGATTGGTTCGTCGTCCTCCAGTGTCTATTCCCCAGACAGGCTCTTATGATTGCTTTATAGATATTAATTTCTGCAGGATAGTCACTCACTCTGATTGAAAGGTCTGATGTGATTGAGCCCCAAATACCCATGGCCAGACGCCAGATGAAATTTCCCCTAAATATGAATGCCTTGTCTGTTTCTGCGATCGCAGACAAGGGCTGCTTCCACTCGCCCCTCCCACCCTGTCTTTCTGCTGGTTAGAGCAGAGTCCTCGTCTCCCTTGGCCTGTGTCTCCTTCCCAGCCTGCATCTCTCACCGGCCTGCACCTTGGCAGATGCTGTTTAACAGCTGCAATGTGGTCCAACAGCAGCGAGTGCTTCAATCTGCTGAGCCGGCAGCCTTCAAAAGACGTTTCTCTCCCAAAATGATCCAACGCTACGTAGACACAGAAATTGCTCCACTTTTGTAACCCCAACAGGAGAGAGGGGAAGGGGGGAGCTGTCCCCGGAGGGCTCCTGCAGGCACTGGTTGGTTCAGGTCCTTTCACTCTGTGTTTAGTAATGTTGAGTGTCTTGTGATTTGCTTTTAATATTTATTTAGTAACATTGCAAATAGCAACTAGACCCAAATCAAGAGGAATATGGTCTTTCATGTATGTTATAGACTGGTAACTGCATGGTGAGCCTTTGTACACCCATGTGTCAGTACAGCATCTATTTATGTCCTTTAAAATAGTGTTTACTAGGTGCCCTCTCTGTCCTGGGCACCGAGTAAAATAAAGGTCCCCAGTGAATGCTACATTTATCTCACTGAAGCTTAGAATTTGAAGAATGTGATCTTAATTTATACCTGTCACTGTCACCTGCTTTTATTCATTTTATCTCACAAAGGAAGTTTTTCATGCCCTGCCCTTTGCTGCTAGAAGAAAAAAAAATACTTCCCATGTTTTCAAAATCTTTTATAATGGTTCATTGTTTAATTCCGTCTCTGCACCATGATACAATCTGAGATGGGTCTATCAGTTAAGCCTTTATACTCAGCTTGTGGAATAAAGTAGGCAAAACATCTAGCATAGTAGCCACATTTGTGGTTTTGAGTGGAGTATTTTACCTATAGGAAAGAAGAAAACTCTTCCTAGTTTTCATTGGTACTAATGACCAACAACATTGGAGAGGTACAGGGTCAATGTAAGTGACACAGATATGGACAAGCAAAATATTTGCATTGGGTTAATCTTTTTCATTGTATTACAATAAAGAATGAGTTGACCCAGAATCATTCTGTAATACTTTTATATTTTTGAAAGATTATTTTCCTTGACTTGGCAGGTAACTCCTCTGGGCCTAGGAATAGGAAGGTGGCATTCCATGGCAAATTGCTAAAAGTAGTCTATCAAACAGAAGTGACACAGAGAGAAATAAAGGAGACGATTGGGCCCCTGAGTACAGACCAGATCATTTCAAATAAGGATTTTAACTAGCAGTATTGATACAGGAAGATGGGGGACACAGGGTGTTTCCTTGTGGTCCCCATAAATCATAGATATTAACTTTGTGTTGCCAGGCCAGAATTGCAGAAGTGACACTAGCAAAGAAAGACTCTAACATAGGATTGGGCTCCCTAATTGGATGTCCTGCCTCTGCGGTGTAATAGCTTTCTCTTCAGCAAGAGTTGTGTTTGTGTGTGTGTGTGTGTGTGTGTGTGTGTGTGTGTGTGTGTGTGTGTGTTTGCTTGTTTTGTTTTTCCAGACCGGTTTCTCTATGAAACAGCTCTGGCTCTCCTGGAATTTACTTTGTAGACCAGGCTGTCCTTGAACTCACAGAGATTAGCATTCCTCTACCTCCTGAGTGCTGAGATTAATGGTGTGCACCACCATGGCCTAGAGCAAGAATTTTATGTTATTGTTGAAAGAACTTTTGTAAGACGTAGAAGCAAAGGACAGGATCTACTGTTGATCCTGGATAAATTTTTTTCTTTTTATTTATTCTTCTCTCACGCAGTACATCCTCCTCTCCCTCCACTCTGTCCAGTTCCCCACCACTACCTCCCCTTTCCCACAGATCCACTTCTTCTCTGTTTCCCTTTATAAAAGAGCAGGCCTTCCAGGGATATCAATCAAACTTGGCCTAACAAGATGCAGTAAGACAAGGCACAAACCCTCATACCCAGTAGGAGGAAAAGGGTCTTAACAGCAGGCAAAAGAGTCAGAGACACACACCCCTCCCACTGTTAGGAGTTCCACAAAAACCTCAAGCTAAGCAACCACATTTTTGCAAAGGACCTAGTACGGACCCATGCAGGCTCCATGATTGTTGCCTCAGTCTCTGTGAGCCCCTTTGAGCCCTCATTAGTTGATGCTGTAAACCTTGTTCTCATGGTGTTCCCTACCCCCACTGGTTCCTGCAATCCTTCCCTCCCCCACTTCTGCTGTGGTTCCCCTAGCTCCACCCAATGTTTGGCTGTGGGTTTCTGCACCAGAAAGAATTCTTCAGATTTAGTCTGAAGTGGGCAGTTGTAACGTGGAGCAATTGTTCAGCACAGAAAGTGGACACTGTGGGGCGTTTACTCACCAGCCCCACAGCTCCCCAGAGTTTTCTTGAGTGCGAGCAGCAGGAAATATTAGATAAAAGGATTTATAGCAGAGAATCTTGCAGAGATAAACAGATAGAAAATAAAGGATAGCCTCGAGAAGGCCTGGAACCTATTCCAACGGGCCCTGACTTTCTCTGCCCCAGGGTTTTTATAGAGACGCCAAGGGGTGAAGCAAAAGACCTCCTCCCCCAGCACAGCCAAGTGCAGACCATCTCAGACACCTGCACTCAGGCCCGTGGTCCTGATCATCCTCTATTCGGACCTGCTGGGTAAAGCCACGAGGAACCCGAGAACGGGCTCCCACAGGTCCCCCCTTCTTAATATATAAAGAAATAACTATTAATGGCTTACACAGCAATCTCCATAGCTGTTACACCTCCCAGTATGGGAGTAGAGGATGATATAGATGGCATTTCTCTTTTGAATTAGGTCCAAGGTGACTACAGCAGTCTTAGCTGCCTCAAGCCCTTTCTAAACCAAAAACTCTTAAGTCAACTACTAACTTAAAGAATCCCTTAGCTTCATCATTACCATTAACAGGTTAACATAAATATCGCTATACATAGTCACAATTCTCTCAATCTTACAACTCAAAGCAAACTCTTAACAGAACCATTTGAATTAGCATATATGGTGCTATATATAGTTAACAATTTTCTCTGTTTTACAACTTTAACTCAATCATTTGAATTTTCTTGCTAACAGAACACAGGAAAAATTTCAGTGCATTCACATCAAACTTAAATATTTCCTTAACTTCACAAAACCAGGGTGCATTAATATCAATAGGTTTCTGTGAACATAATTCAATCTCACAACTATGGTGGTAATCTATTTGTACTGAAATGTGATTTTAACTGTATGTTAATAAATAAAGGCCTGGGGGTCAGAGCTATTAGAGCCATAGCAAGAGTGTGGCGGTGGTGGCGCACGCCTTTAATCCCAGTGCTTGGTAGACAGAGCTAGATAGACCTCTATATGTTCAGGGATACAGCCAGCATTGGAGACATATGCCTTTAAGACCTGGAGGGCTGTACTTACAGGCAGTGATGAGGCAGTCATGTGTTTGGGTTTACAACCAATGAGAAGGCAGAACAAAAAGACTATTTAAAGACATACACACAGGAAGTAGCTCTCTTTCAGAGAGCTAGGAGCACCTAGCTCTGAGCTCTGACCTCTTGGCTTTCTCTTTTACATTGGTTCTGTGTTTCTTATTTAGTAAGACAGTTGGTTACATCTACACATAACTCCTCCTTTTCTTTATAATTTTTTAAACAAAATCACAAACCTAGTTAGAGGAACCCAAACTTATACAAATCCTACAAACCCATATTGAAAAGCAATATTTTCAGTCTAACCATTAACACTTTGAAAACTTTTAGCAAAACATCCAAAAGCAGTTTCTTAATACAACTCTTTACACACTTTAAAAGTAGTCTCTTAGTATACCCCATTTGCATTTCTTACTAACAAAACATCACATTAATCCACTCAACGAAAACGTTTTAAATTAAATAGACTAAGGAATATTAACTCTCCCTTTTATAATTTCTTAAGCAAAATCTCAAGCCTAGTTATAAAACCCAAACTTCTGTTTAAACAGTTCCATTTGTAACACAAAACCAGTTCCATAAGTAATTCCATTCTTACATAAACAGTTCCACAAAACAATTCATGAATCACCAGTTAATAAAGCATATATGCATACACAAAACTGCATCTTGATTCTAGGTAGAAATAAATTTCTTCATTTAAACAGTTCCATTTTTAACCCAATTCCAGAAAACTGTTAGGTCATTACTCAAAATTGTGCCATTGCAATGAAATCTCTATTGTTTATTTCATTTCTTAAGTCTTAAAATTCAAATGATAAATTCTGGTACTAGCCTTCCAAATATGAGAAATCCATAACCAAAATCTTTTTGTAATTTTATCTCATTTTAAGTTCAGAAAGTTCAAACAAGAGAAATTTTGGTATCAGTCTTTCATTTCCAAATATGAAGAGACTTTTCAACCAAAACTTTTTGCAGTGAACAATTTTTGTTCAAACAAGCGTCTCTGAACTTTTATTCTCAAGCTACAGACCTTTTTAGCTACAGTAGTATTCTAAACCGCACCATTTTTGCTGTAAGCTCAGGTTTTTCTGTGTTGCGTCGATTTTCCAAGGATCTCAGCTGCGGATGCCTTGTGCTGGTTCTGGCATCCGCCATTCTTAGCTTCTTAGCGGCTTCTGGAGCTTTTGAAACCATTCAGACTGCCTACTTTGCAGTCTACTGGGACACTAACCTTCTGTGTCTTGGGTTCTTTCACCATATACATTAAGAATAGACTCCCACCTAACATTTACACTTTTTTACAAACTCACATAACATGTGCTTAAGCATAAACTCACTCAACATTTACACATTTTTACAAACTCACATATAACATTAACATCTACTTATTTATGCTTTAAGGAAACTATAGAACTACTTTAGCAAATACATTTCTTATTAATTCTTATATACTTATATTCATTCCATCTTCTTATTTCTTATTTAAACTTACATTTACAACTAGCATCTTACAAGCTTATTACTACATGTCTTAAGACTACCTTAGATACTTCTTACTTATCTTATTTCTTATTTAAACTTACATTTACAACTAGCATCTTACAAGCTTATTACTACATGTCTTAAGACTAACTTAGATACTTCTTGCAAGCTTATATTCTTAAAGGAACTCTATTGATCTATTTTACAAACTTATATAGGGCTACCATTAGCATATATTTAACTTAGGAAACACCTAAAGATTTCTTAATACAGATCTAACAAGACAGAATATTTTCTACGAACTCACATCTTATTTTCATCTTTCTACTTCTTACTCTTAATTATTATCACCATCTCTATTAGAAAGATTCTCTTAACTAGACAGGAAGTACGTGCATCATTTCTAAAGTTTAGAGTTTATAGTCAGTTTTGTTATAAAGCACTGGGATTTATATTTACTGGAGTGTTGGCATTATAGAGTTGTGATACTTGTTGCTAGGGGATTGTAACATTCTTGAGACGAAGCCACACCCCAAAGTTGCAGAGTTCTCTCAGCCTTTTTGGAACTGGCAGAGATGCACTGTCAGGGGTAGACGGTTTTTAACTAGAGGCTGTCCCTTCACCCAAATTCATAATAGTCCCCTAAGTACTTCAATTCAGACAAACGTTTCTATTACAGCAGCACTTTTGGTTTGTTCTATGGAAAAACTTAACTTCATGCTGAGCATGAAATTACCATATTTAGCTTCTGTAAAGCTCTTCGCCAAATACTGCACAGCTATTAGGTGATATAA